CGATCCATGATCTCCTGTTCCGTTATACCTGCCGTTCCCAACCCTATAATCGGAATTTTGCGGCCGTCCACCAGATTTATGGACGGAATTTGTGCTAAGTTTTCATATTTAAAATGTAAATAAAATTAAAAATAAATTATTCATTGAATAGTTTTATTTAAATATTAAAATTATTTGACAACTGACCAGCATATGTATGGCATACCAACAGTGTTATGACCAATATTTTTGACCACATTTTCAATTATCTACTACCTTTAAACTTTTTGACAACAGATATAACTGAAAGAGAATCTCTAAATAAATAATGAAATATATTCTGATTTAGAAAAAATCCCGGTCTTTCAGTATTCATCAAATTCTATGATTTATTTCATAAATAACTGGTTTTATTAGACTTGAAGGCTGTCTAGTATTTGATGTGTTTAATAGATTTTAATCGCATCTAAATAAAGAATTGATTTATTAATACATGTATTAACTTATTATTTTTACACTTTGGAGACGACTTAAAATTAGTAATTTGTAATTGTATTTCTAAATTTTATTTTAAAATATCTATAATAAAAATATTATAAAATTAATAATATATTAAATACAAAATTTGACATACATTTATCATATCAATTAATTAATCATAGAAGTTAAAGTCTATTAAAATTACCGATAACTTTAATTTCCAAAAAACATTTCAATTACAGTTAATAAAAACTTGTTTACTCATAAACTTATAAAGTTTTTAGTTGTTTTTAAAATATACTGTAATTTATAGTATAATATTAAATAATAAGTGTAATTAAAACACAGTTTTATTTAAAGGGAATATGAAATGGATATTCTCTATTATTGACCGCTTCAGTAGGATTTATAAATCTGAGGTTTTTGTTTAATTTGAATATTTCTGTCATTTCTTCGTCCGTCAATTGAAAATCAAAAATATTAAAATTTTCTTGAAGTCTATGTCTTTTGGATGTTTTTGGGATAACAATAATATCTCTCTGAATGAGCCAACGAAGCATCACTTGAGGGACAGTCTTGTTATTTTTGGCCGCAATCTCAGTCAGAATGGGTTCGTTTAGTAAATCCTTGTTTGCCTTTCCTATGGGACAGTAAGCGATCACTTGAATGCTGTTGTTATGACAGAATTGAACTAATTTTTCTTGTGATAAATATGGATGTGTTTCAAACTGCAGACAAACACATAAATATTAGAAATAATTTTAACAATATTCAAAAAAAAAGTTTTATACCTGATTGACAACCGGCTTAATAAATGAATGTTTTAAGACACGACCCAATTGTTCGGAATTAAAGTTAGAAACTCCGATACTTTTAGCCAAACCCAGTCTATACGCGTCTTCCATGCCTTTCCACGTCTCGACAACACTTATGTCTTCATCTAAAGTCATATT